TCTTAGAAATTTTTCGAACAAACTAACCTAACTAACTCCTAATCTTATAAATTATCTTCAATAACACTAATACAAACTTAATAAGAGCTAACCTGGGAGTTCGAATTTGACGGTTGTCACAGTCTCCCCTTGCTAGAGAAATTTCGTCCCGAAATTTAACGACTGCTACTGCCAATAGATTTCTCTGCAAAAAAATGCGGATATTTGCCTTTCATGAAATCTTCTCGCTCCCAAGTGTACTCTGGACCATGCCTTGATTTCCAACGAACCTTCAGAATCGGAATTTTGCTTCGCTTTAACTGCTTAACTTCTCTGTCGAGGATCTCAATGGGTTCTTCTATGAAGTGCAATTGATCATCAACCTGAACATCTTCTAGGGGATTGATCAATGAGTCGTCGGCCAAGCATTTCTTAAGATTGGACACATGGAACGTATTATGAATGGCTCTTAATTCCTGGGGTAGCTTTAGTTTGTACGCCACTGGACCAATTCTTGCGGTGATCTCGAATGGTCCAATATACCTAGGGCTTAACTTCCCTTTTTTCCAAACCGCACTAACCCTTTCCACGGTGATACTTTCAAAACACTTTATCCCCCATCTGAAACTCAAGAGGCTTCCTCCGGTTATCTGCATTACTTTTTTGACGATCCCTGGCAGCCTTAAGTCTTTCTCTGATTATTGATATCTTATCAGTAGTTTCCTGCACAATGTCTGGTCCCATGATCTGTCTATCCCCAATCTCTAACCAACTAAGTGGTGATCGACACTTGCGCCCGTATATGGCTTAATATGGCGCGCATTACATACTAGTGTGATAGCTGTTATTGTAAGAGAATTCTACCAATGGTAAATGAATGTCCCAACTTCCTCCAAACTCGATTACGCATGCTCGAAGCATATCTTCTAAAGTCTGAATTGTGCGTTCACTCTGTCCGTCCGTTTGGGGATGATAGGCGGTGCTCAATTTCAGCTATGTACCCAGAGCTTTCTGAAGTGATTGCCAAAACCGCGATGTAAAGCGGCTATCTCAATCCGATATAATAGAAATAGGTACTCCATGTTTTGCAACAATTTCGTTAACATAGATTTGGGCAAGCTTTACCAGTTTAAAATCTTCACGAATCAGAAGGAAATGTGCGGATTTTGTCGGTCGATCCACTATTACCCAAATCGTGTCATGACCTTTAGCTGTTCTAGGCAGTTTGGTGATAAAGTCCATGGAGATTTGTTCCCATTTCCATTGTGGGATCTCGGGTTGTTGTAACAATCCGGATGGCTTCTGATATTTTGACTTGACCCTTGAGCAGGTCAAACATTTCCCAACGTTCAAAGCTATATCGTTTTTGATTCCTGGCCACCAATAGTACTCTCTCAGATCCTTATACATCTTATCCGCCCCCTGGGTGAATCGAATACCTAGATCTATGGGCTTCCTCCAAAACTAACTCTCGTAGATTTTTAATCTTCGGAATCCAAACTTTGTCCTTGAAGTAACGCACTCCATCTGACTTAATCCTAAATTTATGCTCTAGATTATGCAGGGTCTCTCTCTTCAAATTTTCTGCCTTCAGCGCTTCATTTTGAGCTTCAAGAATTCGAGTTTTCAAACTCGTCTGGACAAGCATTCCCAAAGCTCGTACTCGAGAGGGTTTTATCCTTTCCTTCCGGCTTAGAGCATCTGCCACTACGTTGGCCTTACCTGGGTGGTATCGGATTTCACAATCATAATCACTGAGCAACTCCACCCATCTTCTCTGTCTCATATTGAGCATCTTCTGATCAAGGATATGCTGGAGACTTTTGTGATCGGTAAAAATAGTACACTTAGTGCCGTACGAATAATGCCTCCATATTTTGAGAGCGAAAACCACAGCTCCTAGCTCCAGCTCATGAGTGGTATAGTTCTTCTCATGGGCTTTGAGTTGCCTTGAAGCGTATGCTATAACCTTGTCCTTCTGCATCAATACGCAACCCAAACCTTGGTGGGATGCGTCACAATATACTACGAAGTTCTCGGTTCCTTCTAGCAAGGCCAGGATTGGCGCGTTGCATAGCTTATACTTTAGCAGTTGGAATGCGTCCTCTTGGGGTTTTCCCCAAACAAATTTCTTAGCTTTTTGGGTCAATGCTGTTAATGGCTGGGAAATCTTTGAGAAGCTCTCTATAAATCATCGATAATAACCCGCCAAACCCAGAAATTGACGAATTTCTGTCGGGGTCTTTGGTGCTTCCCACTTCTTTATGGCCACAACCTTAGCCAGATCCACATGAATTCCTTTTTTGCTAATCACATGACCGAGAAATTGTACCTCCCGAATCCAGAATTCACATTTTGAAAATGTAGCATACAATTCTTGCTCCTTGAGCAATTCTAGTATCATTCTCAGATGCTGCTCGTGATCTACCCTACTCCGTGAATAAATCAGAATATCATCAATGAATACGATCACAAACTTGTCTAGGTACAGTCTACAGATCCTATTCATTAAATCCATAAATACCGCCGGTGCGTTGGTCAGACCAAAGGGCATAACTAGAAACTCGTAGTGCCCATATCGAGTCCTAAAGGCCGTATTAGGGACGTCCTCCTCACGAACTCTTAACTGATGATACCCTGACCGAAGATCAATCTTAGAGAAATAACATGTGCCTTGCAACTGATCGAACAGATCATCAATTTGGGGGAGAGGATATCGGTTCTTGATCGTCAACTTGTTTAACTCCCTATAATCTATGCACATTCGAAACGACCCATCTTTCTTTTTAACGAATAGGACTGGAGCTCCCCAAGGTGAAGAGCTTGGCCTGATGAATCCTTTGTCCAGAAGTTCCTGAAGTTGCCCTGATAGCTCTTGCATCTCGGCCGGTGCTAAGCGATATGGAGCTTTAGCAACAGGCACCGCTCCGGGAACTAGATCAATTTGGAATTTGACCTGTCTAGATAGAGGAAGTCYTGACAAATCATCCGGAAATACTTCTGGATAATTTCTCACCACAGGAATATCCTGAATATGCTTTTCCTCGGATTTTCTTTCTGATACATGAGCCAAGAATGCAACGCATTTTTTTCTCATATACTTCCAAATCTTCACACATGATACCATCTTTAAACTCCTTCCAGGTTTTCCCCCTTGTATAGATAGGCTTTCTCCGTCTTGGTAAGGTATTCGCACAATCCTCTCAAAGCAACAAATCTCTGCTCGATTCTTAGACAACCAGTCCATTCCTACCACTACATCGAAACTTCCCAATTTAATTGGGATAAGATCAATGCTAAATAACTTATCAGCTAAATTTAAAGTACAACCCAAGATTACGTCCCCAACATTTATTTCTTGGCCATTGGCAAATTCGATAGTGTAAGCGTCTTTTAACTTCCTCGATTTCAGATTTATCAACGGCCTAAATTCTAGGGAAACAAAACTTCTATCTGCTCCAGAATCAATTATTACTGAGGCATAGAGGTTGTTTAAAAGAAACGTACCTGTCACAACATTAGGGTCTTGACGTGCCTCTTCGGCTCCCATTGCAAATGCCCTTCCCCGAGCCTGGCCTCCTCGATCTCCCTGACTGGTTTGCCTTTCCTGGTTTCCGGCATTGTTGATGCTCGATCCTCTAATTATCCTTGGGCACTTATTCCTGAAGTGATTTGGTCTTCCGCACTCATGGCATGATTGATTCTCTCTGATCTTGCAATCTTTAGCGAAATGACCTCCTTTATTGCATTTGAAACAAAAAATGCGTCTCCCGCTATGGTGATAATTGCACTTGCCACATTTAGGGTAAGTCCCCTTTCCCTTTTCTCCTGTTTGAGACTGAGCCCTAAAGTTTCTTATCACTTTTTGGTTTTTGCTTAAATCATTGTTGCTCCTTTTCCACGATTGCCCCTCTAGTTTCCTCTTTCCACCAAATTTGTCTTGCTTTAAAATCCCTGATCTAACTGCATCATTTGTCAGACGATTTGTCAACACCGCCGCGTTTTGTATAGTGGTTGGGTTTGCCAAAGTGACCATCCCTCGGATTTCAGGTGCCAATCCCCAGATGTACCGATCAATTCGTTTCTCCTCTGGAGTGACCATATGAGGTACTAACTTGGCAAGCTCATGAAAACGAGCTGTGTATTTGTCTACCTCC